AAGGTACGTGAAAAATGCATTGATGAAGGGTCAGACTTGACCTTGGAGAAAGCTATTAACTTGCGGCGCGTACATGTGGAATTTTTAAGCAGCAAATACAGTCTATGGAAGACAAATCAGTACATGGAATCTCGAAAGGTAGGACACCCACAGCCGGAAGTCAGCACCGACTAAAAGCGAAATTGAAAGTGAAAAAGACTGTAAAAATTGTGGCCAAACACAAGAGTTTAAACAATGTCCTGCATATGGTGAAACATGTAGAAAATGTGGAAATCCAAACCACTTTGCGGTTAAGTGTCACAAAGGGAAAAAGCATTCTGGTGCTAGTTCAAAGAAAAACAATAGATCAAAGACTATACATGCAGTAGACGCATCAGATGAAGAATTCTTTATTGGTTCAGTGAAATTTAATGGTGAAAATCATGATGCAGAATGGTATGAGACAGTGAAGGTGAAGGACACTAATATTCACTTCCAACTTGACACCGGAGCAATGTGTAATGTTTTGTCATCAGCTGATCTCAAGACAAAAACCTGAAAGTTGCTCCAACCTTTTTACCACTGAAGTCATTTTCTGGACACTATATTCGTTGTGCTGGTACTGTTATACTACCCTTTGTATGGAAGGATGCAATGCTGCCATTTGTGAAATTCTACATTATTGAACAAACTGTGAACCCTGTTCTGGGAGCTGACACATGTTCCAAGCTAGGACTCATTCAGCGAATACACAGCATTGAGAGGAAAAACCGTGCTCTACCACATGGCATTCCCTAGGATTATCAGGACTTGTTCAGTGGACTTGGATGCTTACCAGGCACCTGCTCAATCAGGGTGGATGAAAACATTCAGCCAGTTATACATCCTCCACGCAAGATTCCAATAGCCATGAGGGATAAGGTCAAGGAAGAACTCGACAGAATGGAGCGTGAAGGAGTGATTGTGACGCAACGTGAGCCGACGAGATGGGTCAACTCCATAGTAACCGTTACGAAGCCGAATGGAAAGATCAGGATTTGCATTGATCCTCGTGACCTAAACCGTGCCATACTTCAGGAACATTTTCCCTTGAAAACTGTTGAAGTGTAGCAGCTAGGATGACTGGAGCCAAGATTTTCAGCGAAGTAGATGCCACCTCTGGATTTTGGCAGACCAAACTAGATGATGAGAGTTCGAAACTCTGCACATTTAATTCTCCGTTTGGACGTTATCGATTCACTCGAATGCCCTTTGGAATCAAGTCCGCACCTGAAGTGTTTCAACGTGCCATATCTGAAATGATTCAGGATCTCGACGGAACAGAGGCAATTATCGATGATATCATTGTATGGGGAACCACAGAAGCTGAACATGACAGACGTTTGAAAGCCTTACTGGATCGAGCAAGACAATATAACGAAGCTCAGCGTGGACAAGTGTGACATCAGACGCTCAGAGCTGACTTACGTGGGACAGATTTACTGACTCGGGTCTGAAACCCGATCCTGAAAAAGTCTGTGCTGTACAGGAAATGGACAGTCCTAATAATGTGAAGGACTTGCAAACATTTATGGGCTTTGTTCAGTACTTAGGAAAGTTTATGCCCAATCTATCAGAAGTTGGCAGTCCATTACGACAGTTACTGGAGAAAAATACTCTCTGTAAATGGGAAAGTGAACAGGAAGAAAGCTACGAGAAATTGAAACGCATGACTACTAATGCACTGATCCTTCAATACTTTGATCCAAACAAGCCACTGATGTTGTCTGTAGACACCAATTCTAAAGGACTAGGTGCAGTGTTGATTCAGGAAGATAAGCCAGTTGCGTCCGGATCGCGCGCACTGACAGAAACACAACAACGATATTCTCAGATTGAGAAAGAAACTTTAGCAATTCTGTAGTGATGTACAAAATTCCATGATTATCTATATGGTCACAGTGTACTGGTTGAATCGGACCATAAGCCTTTGGAAAGTATCTTCAAGAAACCAGCTTTATCTACACCTCCAAGACTACAAAGATTCGTGTTAGCACTTGAAAAGTATGACATTCAAGTAGTTTACAAACCTGGAAAGAAAATGTTCCTGGCTGATCATTTGAGTCGTTCCTATCTGAAAGAGACTAAGGAAGCCCTCGTACCAGATTTACAGGTGAATGAAATACATCTTACTTCATAATTACCTGTGCCAGAGGAAGTACAGGACAGGATCCGAAAGGAAACCGGCCAAGATGATGAGTTACAACAACTCTTGGACACAATCTTGGATGGATGGCCAAACAACAAAGCAGACCTAGCACCGGAAATTAGAGCCTACTGGAATTTCCGTGAAGAACTTTCATGCATTGATGGTATTCTCTACAAGTCTCACAAATTGATTGTCTCAAAGTCTATGCAGAATGAAATGCTGGAGAAGAGCTACATATTGAACACGAAGGAATTGTGAAGACGAAAAACCGAGCGAGAGACATTTCTCTTTTGGAACGGTATGGGAAAAGACATAGAGAACCTCGTAAGCGCATGTGCAACTTGTGCCAAATATCAGGCTGCTAATCCTAAGGAACCAATGATCCCAAGTGAACTTCCATCAAGACCGTGGTCAAAGATTGGAATGGATCTGTTCGAAGTTTGTGGTATCCATTACTTACTGGTAGTTGACTATTTATCAAAGTGGCCAGAACTTGCCAAACTGGAGTCGCTCACCTCTAAGTGCGTGATCACTCATGTGAAAAGCATGATTTCCAAATATAGAATTCCAGAAATCATTATTAGTGATAATGGACCACAGTTCGTCAGTAATGAGTTCAAGGAGTTTGTGAAATCGTATTACATCACACATACCACGATCAGTCCGTACCATGCTTAGTGTAATGGACAGACAGAGCGAATGGTTCAGACCATGAAACGCCTCATCACCAAATCTCAGGATCCATACTTGGCTCTTTTGGAGTATCGGAACACCAAGATTAATGGTATTGATATGTCTCCAGCCCAGCTATTTCTAGGACGCAGACTGAAGTCTATCTTACCTACTGCAGTCCCTCTATTGAAATCGTGTGTAGATGACAACACATTGGTCAAGATGAAATGTCGTCAGGAAAAACAGGAGGAGAACTTTAACATACATACTAAGAAGGAACCACTTAAACCTCTCAAGGCAGGAGACCCAGTAATGATGCAGAGCCAATCAGGACAATGGACAAGCGGATTCGTTAAAGACTTGCACCCTACAAAACGTTCGTATGTCATCGAGAGCAAAGGAAGATGCTATAGACGTAACCGCACGTTCCTGAGATCTACTCGTGTCCGAAGTAACTCGGTCTCCAGAGATGATGTCCCTGCAAATACCGATGTGACGTTGCGTTCTAAGACCACTCAGAGCACCAATGACATATCCACAGCTTCAGATGTGCAGCCAAATACCGACACAGAGACAGCTACATCTGATATCGAACCACCAGCCGAAAACCCTGCGCATGTTACCCGTAGTGGCCGCTGTGTTAAACTTCCTGTGCGATACCGAGAATGAACTTTACTGTTAATCGTATTGAAAACTGAACTGAACTGATATTTTATCAAATTTATTTTGTGTTACAGTTAATAATGAACTTTAATTATCTAAAATCTAATGTTAATGGAAAGTATCAAATTCTATAAGGGGAAGGATGTAATGTATGTTCTAAATTTAGTAAGAGTTATTGTTCTTGAAAATGAGCTCTCCTGTAAGAGAAGGTGAATAAATTAGTTGTTAACCAACAATGGCGTTATGAATACACTACAGTCTTAATCGCGTAAGTGCAAGAACTGTATGTAATCGCTTGCGTGAGCATAACATCAGACCGAGACGTCCTGTGATACGTCCAGTACTGCTCCAACGTCATTGAAATGCACGATTAACATGGTATCGGAGACATCTGAGGTATCGATTTCAAGATTGGGTCAATGTTTTGTCCACAGATGAATCAAGATTTCATTTGGACAGCAGTGACGGTCGCCGGAGGGGTTGGGAAGCGTTACTCGGATGCTTGTGTAGTTCAGCGTCGACAATTTGGAGGCGGTAAAGCACAATGGTGTGGGATGGTATTACAGCACGCGATATGACCCCTTTACAGATAATCAATGGAAACCTGACAGGCATTCGCTACAGGGATGAAATAATCCAACGTCATTTGATACCGTTCATACGGTGACAACAAAATCTGATACCCAGCAACAGGGTAACGCTAGACCGCATGTTACCCGTTTCAGAGACTTTATTGCCCAGCAGAATGTCGATGTCCTGCCCTGGCCAGCAGTTTCACCCGACTTATCACCAATTGAACACATCTGCGATGAAATGGAAAGACGGTTACGTCGTTTACCAAACCAGCCAGTGACAATGGGCGATTTAGGTCAGGAATTGACCAATATCTGGAACATTCCCCAGACATTTTGAACAATTTAATTGAAGCCATCATTGAAATGACGTTGTCAGACTTTATTTTTTATTATGTACTTTAATGCACAGTTTCTTTTCTCCGCCAGTATAATTTGAACCGCAGGTTTTTCCGATTCCCTCGATCTGGAATTATCACAGATGGCCCTCTGCCGATTCCCTCTAGCGACTCTCCCGGTTTGTTTGTTTTTTGTTTCGTTTTGTTTTGTTTTGTTTTTATTGGTTGTTTTGGGGGGGGGGGGGTGCGACTCCCCCCAAAGTAAGACATAGTGATTTTAAATTATAGTACCAGTCTTATCTCTTGTCCGAGTTATCAACGTATATAAAAAGAATGGGATACGTAATGTAACATATGTAATAAATACATTTAGCAAATATGTGTTATTGGTCACTCGTACAACGTATAATTATGTAAATAATATTCAATTAATAACTTAACCAGTCGTGCGTGCGAAGATACACAAAGGAATATGACATAATTTTTGCAGAGTAAAGGGTATGGAGATATTTGACAAAACTACTGATATTCATGAAGAAAAAAATTAATATGTTTGAAATAAGTATACGTTAGTATAAGAATACGTACTCCGAGCAAATTAAGTGTTATAGTGAGCGGTAGAATAGCAAGTGTGCTCCACAGCAGGCACCAATTCTTCAGTTGTCCAAGATAGTCGCAGTACTCCCTGAAGGAACCATGTGTGGCGCATTTATATCGCGGCTTGATTGCCTTCTTGCATAACTGCCGCTCTCTACAATAATATGTTAAACCTGCTTAGTTCTAATCAAACAAGAATGGTTTTAATAATGGAAAGAATGTCTAAATCTGTTGTTTATCAACGGAGTACGTCATGTTAGTTGACTGTCCCGAGAGCGATCTATATCTTGGAAGCTCTGAGACATATAAAATCCTCAAACATTTTAATCAGTTTAAACATCGTAAGTGGAGTTGTGTGCCACAGCCTGGAACAAAGTTAAAATGATCCAAATGCGAAATAATTTAGCTTTGTATAATAAAATGTTATCTTAATCATATCTTGAACACCATAATTTTTTTCTGAAAACTTTTCTTTTGATTAGCAGCGGAAGGATATTGCTTGGATTACTTTCTTCTATGAATATGGTAGTCGCGCCATACATGACATACTAAGGTCTTTGTGATCCTTTTCTTTTCATTGATGTTAATGCAGTCGTTCTCTCTCCCTAATTCTTTCCCAAGGCGTCTTTTTTTTTTTGAATACAGCTAACATTAAAAAGTTGTTTCTTTACATGAATTCTGATGAAAATTAAATGCACGCATTTGAGGCGGAAGAATGGTGTATGAATACGATGTATTTTCAGTATTTATGCAGACTTTGTCTCACTTTATGATCAAATGAAAATAAATTGGTTAAAGCCATTTTCCACACTCTGGAGCAAATAATATTTTCGTCAAAATCGCGGCAGATTTCTTCCTATCTTGCTTCAAACGGGTACAGAGAACAAGATTATCAAAAGTAGAATAGACATGATCAAAGAGGTAAATTCAAGATTAAAGAAGCAAAATTCAAACAATGTTTTCTCTTAACTTGGTTTTCTAATTACGATTAGCAATAGATCACAAGAACCGTCTAACTTATTTTTTTAAGTACTAATTTCTAAATTTATTATGAATGGAATGAATGTTACGGGTACAAAGTTCTGCAGTTCATCAGTCGGATGTGTATTTGTATTTGGAAAGTGCACTTAGCTAGCATTAAAAAAAAGAGTACATGGAACCTAACACTTCAAAAACTTTTTGTTAATTTGAAATCAATTTAAATTTTATTAAACCACTGATTATAAAAATGGCTTTTCATTAATTAGGTGCAAGAAGTGTTGTGATTAAGGGAAGACTATGAAAAAGTGTAACAGACGGACGTACATATACACTCCCGGCCCATCACTATATCCGCCACCCAAATTTTCAATCGGTGTATAATAAATCAGTGAGGAGCTAAATTTTGATGCGGAGGGAAGAACACTTAGTTTGAATATGTTTGTAGAATGGGATATTTTCTGTCAGTCGGAAATTCCTATTGGATCGACTTTTATAAATTCTATCGTCACTGAATCCCAGCGTTAGTCAGTAAAATATATCTAAAAACTAAACCATTGACACCCGCTTGTAATTTTCTCTTCTGAATACATGTATATATAAGATAATTTTGATCAATCTGCTATAAATTCAGTAAAAAAAATTTTTAAGCCTTTCAAATAATTTTATTGCTTGCAAAATTTTATATTTCTAGAATAATCGCATTTTGTGAGTGCAAAAAGGCCATATATATATATATATATATATATATATATATATATATATATATATATGTATGTATGTATGTATGTAATTTTGAACCTTTTCTTTGTCACAATTCAATGTATCTAGTTTTTATAGAATAGGACTTTTTGATGCCTTGATTCATGAAGATAAAAAATACAAGAGATAAAAGTGATTTATGTATAAGTAATAATTCAGTGCAGAAACTTCATATTAAATGCATCTAAGCTTATGTGTGTAGCTTTCAAAACATACTTTGCAAAAAAAACTTTAAACATACTTATCGTCGTCGGAACAGGCACTGCAATACATCATGCTTTCACATTTACATTTGTCACGTGGGTTTGCTAAACGTCCCCGACTACGTCCACATAAAATGCAGCTATTAGCGTCTGTAACCAGCCTATATGGCTGCAATTTGAAAGTTTGTTATTTACATGTTGAAAATCCGATAGGAAAAGTCGATAATAAATGTAGGATATGACTTTTTTTCTGTAATATCAATACCCAAACTCGTGTGTTTTTTTTCGTTTTTGTTTTGTTTTTTTTTTGGATGGGGGGGGGGGGGTTTCTTTGTTTTGTATTTTACATTTTCAATGGGTCATCTGATGCGCTCCTGTCGGTCTTAAACTGTATTTTTTTTTCCACCTTTCATATGGAGCCATTAGATTAAATATTACTTTTTTTGAAGGAGTCAATAAACGAGAATTTTAGCCGATATTTGATAAAGCTGTGTTGATAAACAAATGCATGTATTAAAACTTTACAAATGTTAAATTACTTTCAATAATTTGTTCGAATATTTTCAAAATCTCGAAATTGAATTTTTTTTCCGTAATAGACGTTTCCAGGAGATTATGCCATCTTGGAAGCATGTTTTGTCAAGTAAAATTAAAGTTCAAGAATTTACAGAATTAAAAACTAACTTCATGTAGACCTGTAACAATCTCGAATTTATAGTAAGTTTTAAATTTTGTGAATTTGAACAAAATTTAAATGTAAGGAATATAATTTAACATAAAACGGTAGAAGAATCAATACGAAAGTGCATTAAATAAATCGGAAATAAATACCCATAATTTCCAGAATTTTCTATTACTTGTATTACTTCATTGGGGAAGGGGTAGCGATTATTATGCATATTAAACGTCAAAATACTTCCATAAAACCAAAATCAATTTTAAGGTGTATGTATGCAAAAAGTGAAGTCCCAAGAAACGACTGTAGAAAGTACCATTTGGAAAAGATCAAGTGGGGGGGGGGGGGGGTACGGGATTATTCTAGGCATTATAACACCTGAGCAGAGAAATATTTTAACAATTCATATGACTTTTTATTTTGCAAACTATTTTTATTTCGAATAGAATTATTTTTCTTTTGGTAACTATGTAATGTCGTAATATGCATCAAATTTAACAAGGATCTTCTGAAGATACTCTGATAAAAATATAGTAATTTTTTGTTCTTTTTTATTTTTAATTTTCTTTGTAACAGGAGGAATTGATAGATGATTAATATACCTTCAAGTAAAGCTGATAAACATCGTAAATTAAAATGGACGATACTGCCATAATTTCTGCTGACCCTGTCGACGTCACAGCCATCAGTATCATAATTATAATCATAAGTTCTCCAGAACGTCCCAATATTTTCTGGGCTACAATAACCGGAACTAAACCTGTGATAAAGTAAAAATATTTTTAAGAGTAACAGAAAAAAAAATTGTGAACAAACCTGTGAAACTCAAATTTAAGCTTTGTCATTTTCTATTCTGTTGAATTAAACCAAAGGCATTGTGATGTTCAAGTAAATGTTTTAAATGGGAAAGAAAAATATTTTTTTTAAATCGTATAGACTCTGGTTCATGTATTGCACTCATATCGAAAGAAACTGCATGATCTGCTGATGGTAGTTTACAAACAAATTGTTGCATTCTAGAGAAATTTGTGAAACTTTCGAATGCTCCCGTATAACACCAGCATGAGAAAGTGGCAAAAATTTTCAGAGTACCCGATACGACCTACCGATTTTGCAATAGCTAGAACATACGACGTCCAAAACTCCACTGATCAAGCTGTTGTGTCAGTTAAATTTTGATACTGCAATTTGTTTAATACATTTGTTTAATAATTTGGTGAATCCAGGGTTATCGAAATAAAAATCGTTGGAACATTAAAGACAAAAGGAAATTTAATTACAAAATATTGATTAATTGCATTCACTTTGCTATTTCCTTTTTTACTGTTGATAATGCGCGCACAATATTTTATGCTTTGTGAAATAAGCGGATTAAAATTTTCGCAGTTGGATTCATCCAATCGTACTTCAATGGTTTATTTTCTGCAATCTCTGGTAATACTATAATTGGTAATTCCTTAATATATAATCTTGCGTATTTGCGATTTCGACACAAAGATCAAAACTACTTGATATCCGTTAAATGATAGAACATTTGCCGTATCTTCGACGATTCGGAAGACGCTCAATATTTTATTCCGAATGAATGAAACTGAAGTGTCCCCTAAATGACGTTGGAGACCACTTGTTACAATTACAACGCATTTATTTTATTGCATCTCTCATTCATTTTCTTCCAGAGTATTAACATTAACAGACCTCGGAACTCTTTGTTCATTATCTGATGAAATTAGAAATTATTTACCCTATTTGCACTTGATTCATCGAGCTGGTGGTATTTTTGAAATTGCATTATGTTTCCATGAATTTCTCAATATTATTATATCATCAGATAAAGAATTTCATCATGTATTGGAGAGAAATAAACGCAGAAATATAATTTTAAAATAGTTCAGACAGTCTGCAATAGTGTAAGGTCTAGAATTTTACGATTAGAACACTCTTTTGTAATTGTCCTTCAAAATGGGTCGAATTAAGATGAAAAGCCATGCACCCCAATTAGTGGAGATTCCTATTCAAATCATGGGATAAGGTAGTGACCACAATAGAAGGGGTTTAACGTGGGAAAATAGAGAAAAAGGACCACAAAATTTACTTCTCAAGGACAAAACATTTAAATATGTCAGTCTCTTCAAGATTGTTCAAATCAACACCCTAAACCCCAGGTGTGAGGGCACAATAGTGGATCAAAGTTTTACGTGGGATGATTACAAATGTAGCAGCCCACTATTAGCCATATCAATATGCAACCATCCTCAGTACATGTAGATTTAATTTTGTTCAAACAACACTTCTGGGGATTAGGCAACAATTGGGGATCGAAATTCATAGGAATACAATTGGGTTTTATAAAATCTTCTTCTAAAGAACAAAAGGTCATGATTTGGCATATTATAATAATACAATCATACCAAATATAATGAAATTCAAATTTATTCAAATAATTGAATCGGGAAATTAGGACGAGCTACAAAAGATATATAAAATGTACATATATATAAGGGATAATATATAAGGGTTTATATTTGGGAAATGCTCTTTTAATAAATCAACAAAGGGGCCATAATGAATCATTGATGTGTGAGCATCCTAATGTGGTGCACATTCAAATTACTCAAAGCATGGCCCCTAGAGCTAGGGTAAAATAAGGATAATAGAAAGTTATACATAAATTTGCTTAATTTAATATAAAAAAAAATCAAGAGTCGTAGATAAACAATTTATTCCCAAGGCAACTGGTTTCTGCTTTGTTAAAAAAAATCGATACTGGGGTTAGGGTGGGAGAAAAATGGCGGGTCGAATTTTTAAAAGGGGTTTTCTGTAGTAAATTGAAATAGTAGGCGGGCGGCTGCCAAAAGGTTACATCATTACTCAGGATACATGTAATTCCCCCAGTTTTCGAGATATAAACTTTTTTTATTTTACAGATCAATTGTAAACTTATCCGAGATTTGCATTGTTCTTGGATTATGATTTTTGATAATTATTGAGAAAGATACCAGAAGTTGAACTTAGTTAAACTTAGGGCAAGCTATTGCATACAGGGTACAATATTTATCCGGATAACTCCTCCTACAGTTTTCAATATATGAAGTTTTTTATTTTGCAGATCAACTGCACATATATTAGAGTTTTGCATAATATTTGTATTTCGTAATGTATTTGAAAAATTCAATTACCTAATAGTCATTTTTATGCAAAATATTGTATGGTATATCATTTGTCCGGAAAACTCCTTCTTACTTTTTTCAAGATAAATTTTTATTTTGTAAATAAATTGTACATACATCAGACGTGCACAGTCACTGGATTTTTAATAATCAATAATTTGGAAATACAATTTGTTGAATTTAATCATTGTAATGCAAAATATGTTATTATGGTACATTGATATTGTTACGATGTCACATCCAACATTTTCAGAATAGAAATTTTTTGTAATTTATGTAAGAAATACCAGTAAAAAATAAAACCCGGTTTGCTGTCACATTGACAACTTTCCCCTAGTACAAAATACATTCAAGGAAAAAATTTCTCCGGAACAACATAGTCACAATCAGTCTTATTGATATTAAGTATCCCACATAGTGTGATCAAGGCATGGTTCCTTGGTGGCTACATTGGGGCCACAATATTTGACCAAATACAAAGGGAAAAATCTATTAATTTTTTTTTTCGGAAAGTAGAAGGGAAAGCGCGATTCAGGTGAGCGTTGTGGTCCACATATACTTCCTGGTCTTATACATGAACCGTTATTTGGTTACAACCGTGAGGAAATGATAAATTTGTAAATTTCGAGCAACAACCGTTGTACTTTCTGTCTTAAGTACCTGCATCAACGTCTGCGTCATTCAGTAGAGCTTGATTCTGGCTGGCGCTTAAGGCTATGTAAGCTAAAGAGGTTGTTGTGGCAAGACCAAAAGGAATGGCAAACCAACAAAGACCACCCGCTAAAATCCCTATTACACCTTGCTTTGGCTTGGCAGCAACACTACTCTGCCAATAGGACTGGTCTACGAAAATTGTCCCAAAATTTCCTAAAAAGATCTAATGTATTAAAATAGGAAAAAAAACACATTTCAAAATGAATACTTCATGAAGTATTAATTAAAATTTAATTAAATTGTTACAAACATTACTTTTTTCAATCTTATGATAATTATTATAAAATGAGTGATGATATACCCCATACCCACAATATTGATTATTCCAAACATGAGGCCTTGTTTAGACTGAATAGTGAGGAAACTGTTCTGATAATTATCGTCTGGTCCTTTGCTACACGAGACTAGGGCGTAGACTTTTTCTACCTTTCCTTAAAGTACATAGGTAATGATTCGTAAAATTGTCAATACATCACAAAATACGTACTCTATTTTAGTTGTTTCTGTCTTTGTTTTTCTCATTTTAATCAGCTTTAATCTTTATTTTATAGCTCAAAATACATGCATTCATATGTCTTCAAAGTGATAACAAGTGTCGATTATAGGGTCAATGAAGTCATATTAATCATTACCCAATGAGCCTGTACTCTTTTCATCATTGAACACATTCATGACGAAAACCATTATGAGGATGTAGATTATTCCAGTGTTGAAGTACGATACATAAAAGGTACCACCGAGTCCACCTATGAAAGTATATGCCCCAATAACGGCGGTCACAAGAAGAGTGGCGTATTCCACGCTGATGTCATGGACAAGGCTCTTCATCACTGCAGCGCCCCCTGAAAAAAGATGTAGAAAATGCAATGTACAATTTTGCGACAATTCACTTAAATCTAAACTCTGAAAGGAAAAGGAGCAAATTTTCAGTACAAGAAATGCTTATCAAAGGGACATTTTGTTAACCTTAAATTACAGGAAAAAAGTACTGAGATTTTTCGAAATCTTTCAATTGTTAATGATGGTCATTTGAGAATCTACCAAAGGATATCCGCTCCTAAGCCAGGAAGAATAACTCTCAAAATTATTATTTGATTAAGTCTCAAAATTAAGTTTGTAATTAAAGATTATACATACAACAAATTTCACATCATGCATCTTAATATGATTCAAGGTTCTTTAAGTCTTAGAAACGATCCTGTCAGAAGACATTTGCACCGCATTAAAGTACCCCAAACATTACATTATAAGGGAAAGTTGAATTTTCTTTAGTATTTAATACATTAAAAGGGAAAGTCAAATTTAATTTTAATATTGCTTTAATATCAGTGTTTATTGGCATAAAATGAAAGTAGAAGTTAATTTTGCAGTGACATCGCATCTTTTTTACACTGTTTATTATATTAAATCGAAGTACATGCAAGTAGAACTAATATGATATACGTAAGTATAAAAACATGCAATTTTTCGCAAGCATGGATACTTATTGATCAATTTCAATTAAGAAATGCATAATTACTGCTTTTATTCATGTTTCCTTGTAAATGTAATATATTTTGAAATCTGATCGTTTTCTCTTTATAATTTGAATAACTATGATAAACTTTGAAGAAATAACAAGTATATTCACATTAATTTATGAATTCAGTGGCAATGTTGTGAGTATATTCATTTACTGATTTTCAGAACCTAAGGTACAGACTTTCTTAATAAATAGTAAAAAGAATATGAGATATTTGAGAGGAGCTTTAAGTTTAATACGTATAATTTATTCAGTTGTTCAAGTTATGAGCCCGGGTCATTTGGAACTTCAAAAATGGTGCAAAGTTTTATAAAGAAATCTCCTCAATGAAATATGCAGATAAACGAACAGTAATCAAGCTCAAAAGTCCATTGAAACAATATGGATTTGGAGCAGAGGAAACACGGGTCTCTAAATGGTTCAGATTTGGGATACATGTACCATGGAGGAGTAAGCATCCCCTACCAACTGGTCACACCCACCGTGTGCTCATTGTCATGATCGAAAAACGGAAAAATTCGTGGACAATTTAGCATGTTAATAATGGCCTAACAATTTGTATGAAAAACGCAAGTCGGTATTCGACTTAATGATAGATTGAATTTGCTGATTAGGTCATTGTAGGGAATCAATTGGGAGACAAACTCCATTTGCATGTGATAAGGGTACACTGCTACATAAGTAAGGGAAATTGACAATAGAAAATTGAAGTCATCACGTTTATCATAGAGCTTTGTTGTTAGGTTACCATTAACGTCTTTTTCTAGTAAGTTATCCAAATATAAAACAGATGTGTTAGATTCTGTGGTATCTTTTATTTCGAGTTCAGATGGGCATATTGAATCAACGTAGAAATGAAAATGAATATTGTTTATTGATAAAACGTCCTCGATATATTTTCAAATGTTGAATTCAGGAATTTCAATATTGTACAAATCACCATACGTAAATGAAAGCAAAGAAGTCCCGTTAATTTAAAGTATGAATTCAGATTCTTTTTGATCAGAAGCTGAGACATATGTTACAGATAAACAAATTTAAATGAGACCACTTAATGTGTAAGTATTGACAAAATATCGACTACAGGATTATTTTCTCATTTCTCGAAGAGAAAATTAGTTTTGTTACGATGAAAGCATAATTGTATAATGCGTTTATCTTATCAAGAAATTAATATCGATCCATGTGTCAGAAACAGAGATTAAAACAAAGTTATATTCACAATCTATACATTGTAATCTGTGAAAGTGTTAGTCCTAATCTCTTAATTTAACACGACAATAGACCTGCATTGTCGGATCTTCAGAATTAAGACCTTTGAAGGCAGAGTATCTTTCTTACTTTTATTATACAGGCAATCATACCAATAACACCGCGTCTATTTGAAGTTTAGATTGTATTTTCTGAAACCTACTATAAGGTTTTCAATTTAATTATCTATAAAATCTTTTAATTAATTAGAAAACTCAATAAACTTTGCTGTTTCATTTTTAGCTCTACTGGTCAGAGACCAGAAGAGCTCATGCGATAGTAAAGTGTCCGTCGTCCGTCTGTCTGTAAACATTTTTTTCAAAATGCTACTCCCTAAAGCTTTGGTCTGATTTCAATATAAGTTAATACACAAGTAGACAACACAAAGATACATAATTCTGTTTATCGGTTTATGATTTCGATGAATGATGTTGCCATGGTTACTCAAAATAGAAATTTCTGTGAAATACATTCAAAACGCTACTCCTCCCATGTTTTGGTCCGATTTCAATATAACATGCCTTACAAGTAGACTACACTTAGGTACATACTTCTACTAATCAGTTTTTGATTTCGATGAGCGGTGTTTCCATAGTTACTAAGAATAGAAATTTCTTTGAAATACTTTCAAAACACTACATGTACTTCTCCTACAGATTTGGTCTGATTTCAATATATCTTGGCACACAAGTAGACTACAATAAAATACATAAATCTGTGTATCGGTTTTTAATTTCGACGAACAGTGTTGCCATGGTTACTAAAATAGAAATTTCTGTAAAATTCTTTTAAAAGGCTACTCCTCTTACAGTTTTAATCTGATTGCAATAAACCTTGCCACAAAAAAGAGACTAAACCAAGGATCATTATTTTTATTACTGTTTCAAATCCAAGTTCTACTTATCTCTTCCTTTGTTAAAAGTACAAACCAGTAGATCTACAGTCTCATCAGAGACTTCTGGTTATTGTAGGTTTCAGTTTTTATATCCATTATAATCAATTCCTTGGACAATATGAGCTTCATTTTTATGCCCCTGGATCGAAAGATCCCGGGGGTATATTGTTTTTGTCCTGTCTGTCTCACCTGGCACACCTCGGCCGATTCGTACCTCATCTAACCTCGGCTGTATCATGTAAACCTCCATTGAACCGGAGCTACTTTATACACAATATGGCTGCTCCCTATAATTACACGTGCACAGTGTGCTGAATTCGATCAGTTAACAAACGTGTGATTATGTAAAGATACTTAATGCATGTTTCTTGGTAAGTGTTATTCTTAGTGTTACCTAAATGCTTTTTGAAAATTTTTATCGTATGTCAGATGCATGTTTATTATTGTTTTCAAAGCGTTACGTTTTCCCTAAGCGATAAACAGGCAGCCTTATCACAAATGTTAAGTGGAGACGCATATTAAGTTTCCTCGTACAGCCAAGGTTTGATGAAGGTGACGGAATCAGCCGAGGTTTGCCGAATGCTGTCTGTCTGTCTGTTGTCAACTTTTAACTACCCCATAACTATTGCGCTGTCAAGGGTAAGGCTTTAATATTTGACATGAGTGTTCATTATTACAAGACCTTTCCATTGGTACAGAAATTTTTGATCAAGTGACCTCAACTGTGACCTTTGACCTACATTTGAAAAACTTTAACATTGGCCATAACTATTGCACTGTAGTCTACGTCCCACTCCAGAGTTGTGTTACATCGGGGGCATAGTGTTTCACAAACACATCTTGCTGAGAATTTTTTTGTGCTGTAAAATGTATTATGATATATTTATAACTTAAAAATTTTATATTTATTATTATAGTGAGAAGTACAAACACTAACCATTATATTTTACTAGAAGAAAGAATTTTTTTAATTTGGAATGTGAAATAATTTTAAGAAATAAATTTTTGTACAGGAACGATTAAATAATTTTGCTTCTATTAGACCTTCTTAATAGTTCCTGAATATAAATAACGAAATATAAAACTTCAAATTTTCTGTCACTGACATTAGTAAATAAAAATTTTACCAACAAAAAAAAAAATAATAATAAAGAGAAAATTGTAGCTCATATTGCTTAAAGTATCCCCTGCGTCAAACGGAGCACCACACTCCCAGCTACACTGAATGTTCTTTAATTTAACCCAAGTCTTATGGACAGATGATACAATCTTTTTACTAGTCAAAGGGAGCTTTTCCTAAGGAACTGAAAATGCACATCCTGTTCACGTTGAATATTTTTTATTCTTGGATCTTGCTTCGGTGTTTTCCTGGGTTGGAGTGGGAGGGTTTTTTTTGTTTTGTTTTGTATGTTGCCAATCATAGCAACATGCAAGTATAATTTAAGTAAAAATACTGAAAGATATGCGTTCACTTTAACTTGGTTTGTGAACATTCCTTTGTATAATTCAATATGCAGATATCATTAATTATACAAATAAATCAAACATATTTCTAGGTGACCCGTTCAGAGTTCGACATCAAAAATTGAAGATTTTGATACAAGCATTTCCGGGACTCTTCATTAAAGAAAAACAATATCCATTACTTTGCTTAAAAAATTTACAGTATATTCATCTTGTTGAAAAAAATCTTTATTCCTGCATATATATGTTTATTTAAAACTTCGGTTTCTTCTGTTTTATTAACTCCTTTTGAAAGTTTTGAGAGCCCTACCATGTCCCCAGTTGGTTCAAATGTCAATAGTATGTCAACATTCGAAACATTATAGTCATAAAAAAAATTGCATATTGATTTTTGCAGTTTGTAGCTAAAGTTAATTAGAAATACATTTACAGGTTTTGCTATGTTTTTGCTCATACACAGTTTGGTCCAATCACTGTCCCAGGGAAATGGGAGTGCTTGCAAATCAAATATTTTGAGGATTTGGGAAAGAATGAAATTCCTGTCTGATCCCATACCTTGCCATGATTAAAAAATTGAATCTGCGCTACATTTAATGATAGTTATTGCCTGTTAAGATGATTTCAGATATCTTCATATTTCTGTGTTCTAAATCCCTGTACTTATTTCTAGGAAGTATCATGACGATGGGTATATAAAGTGAAAAGTAAATATCCAAATTAATATTCAGAAATCTATTAGATACTTTTAATATTATAATTATAATATACGTAAATGCATCTCTGGCTCAGTCATTCTTTGAAATGACGCAACCTTACTTTTCACTTTTAACTATATCCTTATCGACGCGTCATAGCCTTTTATATGAACAGATTGGATTTCCATTATCTGATAAAATTTTCTGTAGTCGAAGAAACTACATCAGTAAACTACGAGATTCTACGAAACATACCAAGCATCAACATAGCTGTCACAATGACGTTGGTCATCAGGGCGAAGGCACAGTAAATTTTATGTGTCCTTGACCCAAACCTGGCCTTAATCACTTGGAGAAAAGTTTTGGCACCAGGAGCTCGAATCTTCAATTGAACAGACACCATGGAAAACAGCAACATTTGTATAGAAGCTCCAGCTGCATACCAAAATGGGCCGCTAATACCGTACTGAAATGTACAAGGTTCTTAATATCAGCATAGAAATAAACTTGTACATGTACATTTAACAACTTTTTAAAACAACATGTCTTTACATTGTTTCCTGACATACATTAAACTAATTTTACTGTTTTTACGTGATTTCATATTCTTCAAAAACTAAAATATTTTCACGGTCATTGCAAGGCCATGACATGTGACAATACATTATGAAGGCCAAGTCACGTATTTATTTGTCTCCATATACAAGTCAAATTTTAATTTAAAGGTAAATTCCTATTCTTTGAAGCATTCGAGGGGAAAACGGGTTATTATTACTTGTCTTTAAGATCACTGTTTCAAAAATACAAAAATTCAGAGGGCATTTGAAAAGGCACAAAAATTACCTAACAAGTGATCTGTAAATTTACAAAGGAAAGTTCATTTAGAAAGGTTAGCTCAATACCCCCTTTTACTAATTATACACTTCCGCACTGTAATTGATGTCTCTCTAGAGAACCGTAAATATTTTTTCCTTATTCATCTACGCAGCATAACCCTTATTCCTGATGGCCATAATTTATTTGTAGATGTCCGACATTAAATCGATAAATGATTCTCCAAATCGTTCAATGTCAGCTATAAATCTTTGAGAATTAACTTTACATAGAACTTCAATAATTATATATACTATACATCTATGCACTGGCAAAGAATAGAAACTTTTCTTCAGCTGTTTCTATGTAATTACATCATGGCCGTAGGAACGGGGGGGGGGGGGGGCAGAAGGGGCAATAATTTTGCCGATATATAGATAACTATAGTAAACTTAGATACTAGTAGGGAAAATTTTGGTAGTGCCCCTTCAACCTCAACTGAAAATGTATGGCTGCCCCCCCCCCCCCCCAACCGAAATTGCTTCCTACGGGCCTGTACATATACTTTTACGGTGAAGACTGGAATAATTCAGTAGCATGCAAAAATATATTTGCTTTTATAGAGTTGGGTAATGAACTTGCCTTCTCGAAATCTACACGAAAAGGTTTCATATATACTTGAACAAAACAGTCATGATTGTAACTATGAAAGATGGGTTCGTAAACGTCAATTTATGAAATTCGATAATGACAGTTTACAGAGCTAATGTACCTATAAAATTAATCTTTACCCCTATTTCTCAAATTTGAAATGAACTAAATATATTGTTATACAAGAGATGTTTAACTACCTAGCAAACTTTGTTACTCGTATTTGTTTGACGAGAGACGAAATTGATGTATAGATTCAACTTTTTTAGAAATATGAATCTGAAAACATTGATTCTCGCTCAACACAATCAAATCTAATGGGTTTTAAATCGATTCGATTCAAGCGCGACTTATAATAACTATTATAATGCAAATGAGATTTGTTGATTTGATTTTTTATTGAGCTATTTGTTCAATTCAAAATCCGCTGAGCACAGCTTTCACAAATTAATTGTACATAATTAAAACTCTATATAAAATAATAATTTATTTTTATATATCTCATCAAATGGTTTTATACTGCTTAAGTAGGTTAATGTAGATTTTACATGTAATCTAATTTTTCGTGGGATTTATTTTCGCTGTTTTCGTACCATTAGGAGACCCATGAATTCACATCCTCTATGAAATGTAAAAATTTCAATATATAACAGTTCTACACTTTTTCAGCCACGAAATCAAATCTCCATGAACCAATATTTCCTCAAAATATGTGATCTTACAATACCCGTTCAACAAAAAGAAATGGCAAGATAAAAACCCATAATCTGTGAAACGTCTGTATCTGCAAAACCTTTGTCTTGTGTTTTCAAGAACACTAACGTTTTAATTTCTTTTACTGACTGAAACACTGGTGTTAAATCGAACCACTAGCGTCGACGTCAGTGGTTTTGTAATGTCCTCATTGATCAAACGTTTTTCTGATCCCATCATTTTCATCAAAATATAAAACATTTATTTTATGATTTTCTCGTCCATCGAAATTTATTTTGTGATTTGGTCATGAATCAAACTTTATTTTGGGATTTTGTTGTTGCTCAAACTTTATTTTGTGATATCTTAAAATTCTGATACATGTAGGAGTGCATCTTCAGTAAAATAGGATCCAAACAGTTCTTCGGCTAAGTGTTCAGAATAAGAGTTATAACAAAACTGTCACAAATTGCTCGATGATTTCAGTTTTCTGATCCTGCTCAAATGTCATTAAGAGAGGAGAATTTTCAAATTCATTTTTTTTTTGCACATAAAGATGCATATATGGACTTCAGAAGTTTCAGATTCTGAATTGATTATAATAATGCTTAACGTCGAATCGGCAATATCCCAGCCTTATTCCGGTGGAAATTAAGTTTATATGACCAGTTTTCGAAATTTAGAGAAACGATCTTTTGCGGACCAAAGGGATTGTTAACCTTGACACGGGGCACCATTTAACGTCCCATCCGACGGACTTAAAATATCAAAAATAAGTACACAGTTAAAATATAGATTGTTGCATGTGTTTACCTACTAAATTGCTTAAATTATGCACTTTGAAATTTTACTGTAAAAATCAGTTTGATGTATATAATCTAAAATCGTATTAACATTATTCATGCATCGTTTGCACATTTTTAAAAAAGTCAACTTCGACTAGGCGAAAAATCGGTACATTCTAAAAGAATTGAACTACACTGGAACCAAAGGTCAATAAGATTATCTTACATAGGTTATGCATGTACAAAATTGATTTGAAGTAGTATGTACAAATGAATCTAAATATATAAATTCAAAAACGACCAGATCTCTTAATAAACAATTGCACATTTAAAAATAAATTTTCATTTTCAGAAATGCTAATCGAATCTTCTCCCCATAACAGTACGTGAGTGTCTACAATACGTAAATTAATCATTCTAAAAATAGCATTAAATCGTTTCTTGGGACAGTGTATTTCGCACAAGAAAAAAAGTAATGATATGCGTCTTCTATTTTTCCACAAGTGCATAATGGACTGTCAATGATGTTGCACCTAAATAAATCTTTATTCAGAACGCAATTGTGTCTTTATCTAGTATGAATTACATTCCAGTAACGAACACCCCCCCAAAAAAGGCAGGAGAAGGAGTTTTTTGAGAGTTTATACAATTTTTGAAGGAACCTATAGTAGTGGATTGTCTTGTTTCAAGAGGTAAAGAGTTCCATTCCCTTATTGCCATTGGGACAAAAGATGATTTATAAATATTTAATTTACACTTAGGGATGCAATAATTTTGTGATTGTCTTGTTACGTAATTTGATTCGTGTGATCGAATGTTTGGAAATATTTCTTTCAGATACTCGGGTACCATATTATGAAAAATTTTATACATAGTTGTTCTTACTTAGGACATTCTTCTAATAGCAAGTGGCTCCCATCCAGTTTCAAAATAGAGAAATTCTCGCGATGCCAAAGAAGTTAATCCAGTGACTATTCTTGCTGCTGCTAACTATAATTTTTCTAGTTTTTCGGAATCTTGACTAGAACACCCACACCAAACTTCAGCTGTGTATTCTAACTGAGGTCTTATAAAAGTAGTATATAAAAGATAAAGTTTTAGCACTTACCCTGAACTGCAATTTTTTAAGTAGACCTAATTTTTTATATGCATTGGCAACGATAGAATCAATGTACGCTGACCATGTAAGGTCGTGTGAAAAGAGAATATCTAAGTGGTTGTGTGATGATACAAAATCTAAATAACAGTCCTGAAATTTAAGCCTTGGTAGGTCGACAATTTTCTTAGTACTAAAAAAGATAGCTTTGGTTTTCGAAGGATTAAATTTCAATAGCCACTGTATAGACCACTGTTCAAGTTGATTTAAATCATAATTCAATCCTACTTGAATATCATGTATATTTTCAGAACAGTTCTGTAAAGAATTATCATCAGCATACAACCTGCTTAAACTCGACATATTTTCAGCAACATCATTGACATATATCAAAAATAAAAGTGGTCCCAATACAGACCCCTGACGGACTCCAGCATGTAAAGGTTTAAAATTAGACATAGTATTCCTATGCAATACCCTTTGTGACCAATAAGTATTCTTGAAATAAACATTTCGTCCTGACTTTTCAGGCCGATGTCAGATGGTTTGTTTAATTTGTATTCTACAGTATATGTTTACTTGTATCAATTAATTCCCATTGAATTTGCCAAAGAGAATGAACATAAATTTTTAAAAAATATTTCAGATCAGTGTAAGGAATTTTGAAAAGATTAATGCCATACTGAAGTGCCTTTTTGCATCACCATCAGTCTTAGTTTTTCCAGGGATGCCAGTATGACTTGGAATCCAATAAATGTCAACTATTTTACCTTGTTGTACTGATTTTATCGATCTAAACTGTATGGGTGATCAGTGTTCATATTTTGTATGGATTGTAAGCAAGAGAGCGATTCCGAAAATGTAAGATCGAATAAACTCAAATGCAAGTTCTATGGCTTTTCTGCTGTAAAAATTGTTGGAAGTCATGAAGAGAAAACATTGTTTTTAATCACTGCAGCCGCTGCTGAGTTATTTTTGTCTTTTGAACTTCGACTGATTAGAAGAACTCTTGGAATGTTTTATTTCGGCTAATTTCTTTTTAAAAATAAGAGAGTTTGTTTCCGATTTCTTTAATTGTTCTTATGGGTTAAGTTCTTGCCTAGCCATAAACAATGTGGCCGTAGTCTAACTTAGATCAGACTAAATAGTGATAATAAAATTTAAGAAAAGTATTTTTATCTGACCCCATGACTGAAAACATATTCGAGATGTCTTAGTTCTAAAAGAGAATGTTGTGTCTGTATTTATCGATTTAGAAAAATCATATGATACCACAGATATGGCATTTTGAAAGATCTTTACAATATGGGCCTTAAAGAACACTTGCCTAATTCTATCAAGAATATTTTGAATGATAGATATTTTAAATTGAGTGCTCTCGGGGTCTACATATTTGGAAAGATTTAAACAGGAAATGGGCGTACCACACGGAGTGTTATTTTTGTCACATTCAGTATTCTAAGAGGGTCATAACGCTCATCTAGGTGCTGTTCTTCTTTAGATTTCCGAAAAGATTTTTATATTCCCATGAAAAATTGGGACCCCACTTTAAAGTCCAACTCTAAGGGTCTCTGAATCCACACGTGGGGATGCTTCAATATCATTATGATTAACTGGCCTTGCAGTTATTGAGAATATTTTCCGGATACATGTATTATGTAAAATTTGATTCCTATTTCAACTTACCCACGGTGCATAATCTGAAATAATGAATCCACTCAACTTGGGAATGTTTGCATATATGTTGCGAATATGTGGTTCTTGAGAAGATTTTCAAGATCAATTTCCTGTAAAGTCCCATGTAAAACTTTGATTACCTACTGTGGTCCAATCTTAACTCCATGGGCCCTGTTTTGAAGAATTTAGAATCTTGGAACACATCAGCAAGCTTTTAAATAAGTGTCATCTCTTCTGGCCCAGTGGTTCCTCAGAAGATTTTATATGAATTTTTCATATATATTTCAATGTAAACTTTGATTCCCTATTGTGGCCCACCCTACCCCGGGGGCCATGATTCGAAATACTTAGAATCTACACTACCTAAGAAAGCTTCCTTATAAGTTTCATTTCTTCTGGCCCAGTGGTTGATGAGAAGATATTTTAAAGAATTTGTGCTATATAATTCAATGTAAAACTTTGATTCCCTATTTTGGCCCACCCTACCCCAAGGGACTTGATTTGAACAATTTAGAATCTCCACTACCTCAGAAATCTTTCACACAAGTTTCTTCTCTTTTGGCCTGGTGGTTCTTGAGAAGGATTTTAATGACTCCACCTGTTTTTGCCTTTTCTTGACTATCTCCCTTCGAATATGACTTGAGCCCCCTTAACTGATTAATTTAGAATTGCCTTTACCCAAGAATTCTTTTGCCAATTTTGGTTAAAATTGGCCTAGTGCTTCTTAGTCGAAAATGTGATAAGTTTACAAACGGACGGACAGACAGACAGACGGAGCCCAACAAAAGCTCACTAGGGTTTTCAGCTTAGGTATGCTAAAAATTAACAGTTTTAATTAGCGGAAGTACTTAAAGTGATGTGCGTTGAAGTTTATTTGTCGATGATTTTGCTCTTCGCTATAAATCCAAAAATATGAATTCTATTCAGCGAAGATTACAGCATTGTGTAATCAAAATTCCAAATTGGGCTGATGTGAATGGATTTAAGTTCTCAAAAAGTAAAACCGCTTGCGTGCATTTTTGGGCCAAACGGAAAGCCCAAGATGAACCAGCGTAATTGAAACCCTATCAAAGTAGTTAAATAGATGAAGATTTTTAGGTATCATCTTTGATAATAAACTCACTTTAATCTCACATATTAAAATGCTCGAAGAAAAATGCACAAAGGCATTAGATGTACTAAGAAGTTTCAGAAAGTCAAATAAACTAGAAAAGTTTAAACAGACGAACGGTACATTTGACTCGATATCAGGAGTTTCACAAAGGTAACAAAGTTCATAAAACGTTACAAAGTAGTTTATAGGTTCTCATTTATTTATCAGATGAACCTATTTCTGATGAATTGAGTATACATATAACCGTCATGAAAAAGAGTAATATCAACTATCGTATTAATTACAGATATACACTTTAGCAGAATTCTCTCCAGGACAAACTTTATTTAACAATGCTCTTAACTGTAGATATTATAAGGCCTTCTGAAATTGGTGGGTTATAAAGAGGATATTAAAAGTTGTATTGCGAAAGACTCTGAAATGCACTAATTTATATTTTTAGTATGACTGACTTTATCTACCTTACTACCAACGGTTGCGGACTGCAGCAAAGTGGCTGCCCAGGTCCACTGGGATACCAGAGTAGTGGCAGTCAGTCCAGCGTTCACATTCCCACCAGCATCAAAAGACACATCCAAGGAATTCTGTTTAAAATAATCAAAAAACCAAACTAAAGTTTTTTTTTATGCAAATGGTTTTGTTCTCATGTCATCTGCTGTTTTAATATGTTTATGAATAATGTCAACTGTAAACTATTTTACACCAGAGAATCAAACTCTGATTTGACGTAATGTAAAATATCATGTCTTACCCCCCCCCCCCCGAAAAAAAAAACTTGGAAAAGGTCAGAGGTCGTATAAAACAAAACAATCAAAACAAAATAAGAGTGAAATTGCAAAATGGTGGCACTTCAAACAAAGTGGGCAACAAGATGTGATTTGCAAATCGCATCCGTGCCAAGAAAGGGAAAGGAATACATTTGAAGAAGACAGATAATGAATGATGGCCTTTTAATTCTTTCTTTTATTACCTTTTTAGCTCACCTGAGCCGAAGGCTCAAATGAGCTTTTCTGATCGAAATTTGTCCGTTGTCTGTCGTCGTTGTTGTCGTTAACTTTTCACATTTTCATCTTCTTCTGAAGAACTACTGGGCCAATTTCAGCCAAACTTTCCACAAAATATCCTTGGGTAAAGGGGATTCAAGTTTGTTCAATTGAAGTGTCACGCCTTCTTCCAAGGGGAGATAATTATGAATTCGTGAAAAATTAACGGCATCATTTAAAAATCTTCTTCTCAAGAACCACTGGGCTTGAAAATATGAAACTTATATGGAAGCATTTTCAGGTAGTGTAGATTCAAGTTTGTTCAAAATCATGACCCCCGGGGGTAGGGTGGGGCCACAATAGGCGATCAAAGTTTTACTTAGGAATATACAGGGAAATCTTTAAAAATCTTCTTCTCAAGAACAGTAAAACCATGATTGGTTATATTTATATGTAAGCATCTTCAAGTAGTGTAGATTCAAGTTTGTTCAAATCATGACCCCCGGGGGTCGGGTGGGGCCACAATGGGCAATCAAAGTTCTACATAGGAATATACAGGAAAAATCTTTAAAAATCTTCTTCTCAAGAACAAAGCCATGGTTGGTCATATTTAAATGGAAGCATCCTCAGGTAGAGTAGATTCAAGTTTGTTCAAATCATGACCCCCTGGGGTAGGGTTGGGGCACAATGGGCGATCAAAGTTTTACATAGGAAAAAAATCTTTAAACATTTTCTTTTCAAGAACAGCAAAGCCATAATTAGTCATATTTAAATGGAAGCATCCTCAGGTAGAGTAGATTCAAGTTTGTTCAAATCATGACCCCCTGGGGTAAGGTGGGGCCACAATGGGCGATCAAAGTTTTACATAGGAATACATAGGAAGAAATCTTTAAAAATTTTCTTTTCAAGAACAGCAAAGCCATAATTAGTCCTATTTAAATGGAAGCATCCTCAGGTAATGTAGATTTAAATTTTGTTCAACTCATGAACCCCCAGGAGAATAGAGGGGTCGTAACAGGGGATCATAGTCAAGCAAAGGAATGCAAATGATATATCAATTAAAATTGTCTTCTTAAGATCAGCAAAGCCATTATTTGTCATATTAATTCAAAAGCATCCCTATGAAGTATAGATTCAATATAGTTCAAATCAACCCCCCTCCCCTCGAACCGCTTTTATATCAAAACTTTTAAAGACTGAACTGCTTTCTGGTTTTTCCTAGCCAGAGTGCTCAGGTGAGCGATGTGGTCCCTGGGCCTCTTGTTCTGCAGCACTATTAAGAGTTAATTTTACATCTCCTTCGATAGGAAATGTAAAATAAACCCAATAATGATCAATGAAATGCATTCATAGTGTAAGATTTCAATTGATTATGTTGAACAACATTGCTGTACGTTCATATATTTTATCACATACATGGCTATGTTCTTCCCTTAGCTGGTAGTTTGTACAGACAACCTTGATTTAACTATAAAATCTAAATGATTTTTTTTTCAATAAGATTATATACAAGTTCGAATTTCTATCTCACCACCTAGGTTTTCGTCATGCGGGTTTTCTTTTTGTTGTTAAGTTTTATTTGATGTTAAAAAAAGATCTTAGAGAAGAGATAAAAAAATCTTTAATCATCAAAGTTGTTTTTAATCAAAACATTTATTTATTAAAACACAAGAATTGATAAAACGCCAGAATAAGTGAAATTTCAACACGCATAGTCAAGCTCTACCAGGAATGCAAGAATAGCGAAATATTTTAGCGCAATTAGACGTCATGTCAACTGTGACGTTATGGTATCCAATCAAGGGTATTGTGACGCGTCTGAAACAACGCTGCGTGAAAACGTATGCGCAATCCAAGTAGATTGGGCCTCGTTAATAAAATTTTAAAAGTTCTAGAATTGTGGATTTCTTAGGTATCAACCCCTCGATTCTAACATTTTGACTTTTTCATGATCACCTAATATCCATTCTGTTTATTAAAATATCGCTCCAAACTCGGTGTCCCCACCACCCATTCAGAACATGTAGATCTTAGAAAAGGGAGGCCAGAAGATCTGAAAATGGGAATACTCTTCAGAAAAATTTGATTAGTTAATTGAAATTTCGCTGGAAAATCGGGCGTACACAGCATAATTTTTTTATTTCAACTATAACATTCACAAGTCTCCAGCTCCTTCCAATTGCTTTTTTAAACAAATATGAAATTGGCTCATTTGTATTGAATTTTGATTTTTATTGATCATTATATAAATGTAATCAGTAATGTAGCATTTTCGTCTCTCTCTTTCTCTGTGACATTTTTGGAAATAACTTGTTTTTACTAAACACGCATCAGTCAAATACATTTACATGTACATTTAGTATATTTTTCAAATACATAGCCCATAGAGGGGAAAAGGTAACATTATCGATAATTTGTAATTTATATTAGAAAACGACGATTCCGGATTTTAAAAAGAAGGGGGAGGGTTTACCCAAGTGACCGTGACAAAAACGTTAAATGTAGAACAATTTTTTTTAACTTAATGCTTAATAGAAGGTGGATACAATTTGTATTATATCTAGGAATGCAGGTAATTGTAAATCGAATTCCTTATAAATGAATCAGTTTATTTGTTGTTTAACGTGGCTCTCGAGAATTTTTCACTCATATGGAGACATCACTTGCCGGTGGACAGCTGCAAACTTTGACCTAAGCTCGACACTCAGGGCCAAGGAGCAGTGAGGGATCTTTTTCGTGCCAGCACCTACTGCGACACGGGACCTCGGTTTATACGGTCTCATCCGAAGGACCGGTCTCCACGTCCCACAGTGGGAATCGAACCCGCGACGTAAGGATCAACTCCTTACTCGGTGACTCTAGAGCAGACGCTCTACCACTGCGTCACGCAGGCAGGAATATGTTCGGAGGTTAAATGAAAGGTTTGTAGCAGTTAAGACGATCCGAGTAATGGATTAACAGTGCTTCAATTCCAGTCCACCACAACTGTCACTTATTTACAGGACTTTGAAAAGGTAGATATATGAACCCACATCTCCTATAGGTTATCGCTCAAGGACATGCGAATCTATTTTTCTTTGTGAAACAGGCACGTGGCATGGTTTTTTTTTAGAGGGGGAGGGGGTGGGGGCTAGAACTATATAATACCTTTAACGATTTTTAAAATTTTGAAACTGTTAAATAAAAGGGCTAGAACTTTTGACAAGTATACTCGGAACCTTCTTACCACAGGATAACAATCCCTCATCATGACCATTTGGATTAGGTTAAGATGCACAGAGAAAATTTCTTTCCAAAACATGATTGTGATTATGAAACTAAGATGGCTCACGACCCTGAACAAGGGTCACTTATACAGGACCAAGGACACAGAGTCTAGATTAGAGGTGTCAAATCCTACAACTATGTCTCGAAAATATATAAACGACAACACTTTGTTTTGGAGGCTAAGGAGCAAAAGAAGGCCTAGCTGCAGATACTGTAACGTTATGGTTTTATACTATAGTAGTCTTTGACCATAACGTTATGGTCTGAGACTAAAATATGAATCCATAACGCTACAGTAGGCCATATCTGGCACAAAAGTTGCTTCTGACAAAGAGGTCTGTCATGATTGCATGACGTACATGTAGTTGTTTGTAACTGGTCAAGGTCACATGACACAAATGTAAAATTTTCCATTCTTTTGCTTGGACTGCGGAGGGTTAATTATTTTTTGTACTCAAAATAACGGCTAACGAAGAGGTGTACAACTGTGCAATCAATTACAGTTCAACCTAAATTATGGCCATGGGGATTTTCTAATAGATTGTAAATGCTTTTAATAAGCTTTTTGACGTCACCTGAAAGACATCCATGATCTATTGCTATCTGTTCTCATCCGTCCGTGGTACATTGTTCAAAAACTTTTGAATATTTTCCACTTCTTTTCTAATATATTTGGAGCAATCTTAAGGAGTTTTGATGTATTGCATCAATGGATGATTGTGGATTTAATGATTCTGGGGTTTGAGTGGTGGAATAAAGAACCAATCAAAATATATTTGTACACATCAAAGCAAAACTGACGAAAATTTCCTGTGTTACTTCAAATGACTAAGATACCTTACTCACATCCCCTTTTTAAATTGTAAACTTGTGACTCAAAACTTAATTTCTGAAAAGCTACCCAGAAATACTTCTGTCGGGTAAAATCCATACAATCTTTTTTTGTCATTAACATGAAACTGCTTTCGAGAAACTGAGTAATTGTGGCCAATGACCTGAACTAATGTAATGTCTTTATCACATGCGGGGAATCTATAAGCATGAGGTGTAAGCGGAAAGAGGGTCCATGCAAAATGTCGGTTAATGTTTATGTTTAGTCAGATCTGAACTAAGTAAAAGGATTCTTCAACAGAGAATAGAATGTGAAAAAAAATATAACAATCAAACAAAAAGGTATTAAAAGGTGTATGTGTAGAAACGGACTAGAGTAAAGTAGTCCAAAATGGCGACAGGCAAATACGCCTCGGTTATATTTGGACTTTACTCGTCATACAGACTCTAATTACAAACTTAATAGTTTTATTTAAAATATTTTGTACAAAAGTATAGGTAAC